AACAATAACTGTATGAAAAGCCAACAGGTCGAAACATTCCATACTCTTATCTTAGCTATACCAGTATATTGATACTTGATGTTTATTCGCTCAACTATGACTTCTAAAAGTTTAAAAAAAAAATTTGTATAAATGTACATATATATTAAAAGCTGAAGAGAAATGTCAAGAATGTTGAGGACAAATAAAGTTATGAATTTAGCGAAGATTTGAGATAAAGTTTGAAAGCACTGTAGCTAAAACCATTGTGTGTTTTAAGCAATTAAATTGTTATACCCCAATAAGGATGCTTTTTTGGATAAATCAAGTCTTTGATCACAGAAACTATTAATCTATGCTTTAAATAGTACGGTTCGAGCGCTTTGGAGTACGCTTCAGAGATCGATCGTCTGTTGGATCGTCAGGTTCAGCATTAAAAAAAAAGATAAGAAAAGAAAGTTGAGTTTTTTTTATCTTGCTGATGGAAATTTTTTTTTGCTATCTGTTCGTCTGCAGCTTACGCTGTGAGAAATTTTTGAATGAAAACACCCCTAAAGCCGAGATGGGTCGCTACTGTTAGGAGTAGCTTCGACAGCTGCGATATGTTCCTGCAGCTGACATTCAGAAAAGAAAAGTTAGCTGAGAGCAAGTCACATGAAAAAAGTAGATTTAGCAGTTGACTGTTTTTTGAATCATCAGACGATTTGGAATAGATTTCTGTTGAAGTTTTATAATTAAGTTGTTGATTAAAACAACAGAAAGTAATTCTTCAAATTTATGTGTTCTTTCAGTTGTCTTAATGTTTCATCAATACCAAACAAACCGTAACTTGGTGTTGAATCTTTGGAGATTTTTTGCTGCTGAGGGGATGCGCAAAGAGCGGATTCTATAGACTATTGGTTTCGAAAAACATAAGCTGAACAGCGGCAATCCGCGTTCTATCGGAATGTATTATTCTGTTGAAAATAACTATGTGAAATTAAAATTATTACTAGGGCGACTAAAAGAAGTAAATAAAGCTGCAAACTTCTACAAATATTACTTTTTCCTTGAAAAATAAGAAAACTATTGCATCTTGAACGGCGTTAACTTTGCATGCAAAAACTTTTAAATTTGGACTTTTTTATTACTGATAACAATGTCAACAAACTGCTCTTTCAAATAGAGTTTTAAAGGCAGTATCCAGTTGTAAAAACTGAAACCTGGATTCGAAGAGGTCTAGTCAACAACATTTGAGCCTTTTTAGAGTCTCACACAGTCTTGCAGTTGTTTCATACGAAGAGCAAAGTAAAATTACTGAAGTAATGTTTCAAATGTTTTACTCACTGTGTATTTGCAGTTGGTAATCTGCTTGTTTGCTGCTCATGGCTAACGTGTTTTGTTGTTTTAAGTTTTACTTAATTTAAGGAAGACACTGCAATGGCAGTAAAAAGAAGATGAAAAAAGAATGTAAATGAAAGAAAAAGGATGAAGAGAAAAAAGCAAAAAATAAAAAATAAAGAAAAAAGATGCAAGTAGAAATTTTCGTGAGCATCAAAAAGATTTAAGCACTTTACAGCCGAAGAATAAAGTGCTAATTGCCAAAAAAAGTAATGAGATTTAGCAGCCGAGAAGCTGATTTTGAGAGCAACCATTAATCGTCACGAGGTACTACTATTTCAGGATGATAGGCTAATTTGAAAATCATTTATTTTTAGAAAATCACAATATGTTTTTGTCTGAATTATTTTATTGTTTATTCAAATGAAATTTCTATTTACTAGATTTCCAACGCCTGTAAAATATCTACACACAAAAGGAAGAAGCCAGAAGAATTTTGAAAAAAATAAAAAAAAAACACTTTTTTTTTGTTACAACATAATCTTTGGTTGTACGTTGTGGCTGTTTTCATTGCAGCGAGACAATGGTATGAAAAAATACCACAGCACTTTTATTCGAAACTTTGAATATGACGAGTTCCAGCGGCCTTCTTTAGTTCGTATTGCCAGTTTTGAGGAATGCCCAATTTAGATGCACATCGGAGAGTTAGACCAGAAACTTTTGAGAGGCCATTTTAAAACAAATAGCGGTATTCGTTGCCTTAGTGAACTGAGAATAGCTGACATTAGGAAAGCAGTTAAGAGATGGAAAAGGTACTTTAAAACTATGTTTAACAAAAAATTATCATGTATTAGTTTTAGTACAGTTTTTCACTTTAATGTTCTTTTCTCTCCCTCCTCTTTGTGGAAGCTAAAACTTCAAAGTGGAATCTCTACCCTCTTCTTCTCAAAATATTGAAAGATTCGCCAGCGGTGGTAATGCGTTCCAACAGGGGTTTTTTTTTTTGTTTTTAGTATTATTTCATGTATACATTATTTTATGAACAACTGAAAGCAACTAAGGCAACAAATACCGCTGTCTGTCATTAGCTAAGAATAACAAAAGATGAAAAATAAAAAAGCAGTGTACAGCTTGTCTTAAGCCAAAATGCTTAATGGTCAAAAAAAGCCAAATGATTTGCTAGTTGATCATATGAGCTATTAGTAGTAAACAAATCGATTAATGAGCGTGTTTACTCAGTTTTCATCTAATCCACGCTGAAGCTACTAAATTTCTTTTTTTTCCTTCTTCCCTTTCTTCAAGTATGTACCGCTAGAGAAACAGAAAGAACTAAAAAATTTCACTTAATTCATTTGGAACTCAAAGGTAGAAAAAACTTTTTTGGAAGCAAATTCTGGATTAAACCTCATCACTTTTCACTTCTTCATCTGTTCTAGGCTTTGTTGCTGGTGTTATTATTCTTTGTTTGTCCAATGAGGAGCAGTTTCTGACATTTAAGCGATCAACGTCAC